CTACACGAGATGAGGCAGGATAAAGAGGGATAATCCCCCTCGATCCCAAATCATTGAGGCCAATTTCTAGCCATAGAATAATGGCGCGAGTCTCCCTGGCTTTGACATTGACATTTATAGGGAATTTTTAATAATTGTTAGTATTTTTTTACTTGCGGCTGCCTTCAGTACGGTTTAATTTAGAGATAGAGACGGCGTGTTCATTTCAATAATTGATTTATAGATTTTATTTATAATTATAAATATATTTTTTTTTTGAAAAAATACCGTTTAAAAATTTATAAATTATGTTTCATAGCAATTAACATTTAGATAACTATTAAACTGTTCATACTTGCATTACACGTGATTTACGATGTACGTGTTTACGGTTGGATTAGAACACGCCTAATAGTCGATTGATTCTGAGGTGATGTTATTTTCTTGGTGACAACTTCCAAAAAGTCTTCAAATAAGTGTTTTCTTTATATAAATCAATTTATATTTAAATGGATAAGGTAGAAGATATGACTCATTCGTATGCCTTACCAGATCAATACATGGTTCATGTAGAAGATATGGAAGGTAATTATATCTACAGAAGTGAACTAAAATACACTTGTAAATTATGTTTGTAGATGAACATGAGCAATTAACTGCGGAAAACACGGATGATTCAAATCATGATGGAGACAAAATTGGGGCACCTTTACGGGAACAAGACAGATTTCTACCTATCGCCAATGTTGCAAAGATTATGAAAAAAGCAATCCCTGAAACGGGAAAGGTAAATAACAAAGTACGCATTGCTTTAATTTTTGCTTGTTGTTCCGTCAACAGTTGTTTCGATATTTACACACTGTATTCTAGATTGCAAAAGATGCCAGAGAATGTGTTCAGGAATGTGTATCTGAATTTATTAGTTTTATTACTAGCGAAGCTAGTGATCGCTGTCACATGGAGAAAAGGAAAACGATAAACGGAGAAGATATATTGTTCGCAATGAGCACACTGGGATTTGATAATTATGTGGAGCCTTTAAAAATATATTTACAGAAGTATAGAGAGGTAGGAGGTCTCATAAAAAGGGTTATTATCTAAAAGTAGATAGTTAAATTCATAATTTTTCTTAATTCACTATTTTAATATTGTTTCGTTTTGATTCTAGGCAGCTAAAAGCGATAAGAACCTTACGTCTGGTGACCTGTTGTATGAAGAAATCCCAGAAGAATCTTATAGTAAGTTAATTAGGCTTGGTTAAATGGATAAAACAGAATAATGGGTGTATTTTTTAGACACGTCTGGCAATAATATATTGACTACTACGGAGAATGGAGGTACGGAAACAGTGATATATACATACCAAGATAATAATTCTCTTCATCAATTTCAGTTAGGATAGAGAATATAATTATATATTTTGTAATTTTATAGATTTAATTTGTTATTACATTATCGTTTATTATATAATTAGTTTTAAATTGAAATTTTACTGTTGTAAGTAAAATATGATTTAATTTTTTTAATGTACCTATTTGTGTAAATAAATTTTTTCAGGTACCTTATATTTTTATTTTATAAAAAATATTAAAACTGCCGTTTCGTAATTTTTCTTGATGGTATATCCAAGAGGTAATATTTTTTTATTTATATTAAAGTATATATTCAGTGATTCTGTCTTAGTGGAAAAAATGGCCTATTGCAATCCCCCCAGAGAATTTTCACAAATTTTCGTCTTCTACAATTATTACCGTGAAATTTCTTTAATGTTGCGAGTTCATTTTTAAAATAAAATCGTAATATTCCTGTGGATGGTATATTTAATGTCATTAACAATTTTCTAATTCACTTTTTTGCATTTTCATCACTAGCTTTTTTAATTTCATAACGTTTGAAAACTGTATTTCTGGCTTCCCAGTTTTATTAAAGAACTACAAACTACAATTTCACTCATGTCAGTGAACAGGGATAACTGAAACGTGAAAATATGTTTTCTCAGCTGCACACATATGACGCGAAACAAGTTCCACATGCTCGTGCAAAAATTCATGTTGATACACTGTACGAAATGAAGGAAATTACACCTTCTATTCAGATAAATGATAATACACAAATTGATTTATCAGATGAAAAATTTGTGCCTGGGACATGTCCTGAGGCGACTTCAAGATTGTCAAGTTGTACGCGCATGCGCGGAATTTTTGTATTCATAATTCCCGCAAAAAAATTTTAAGGTTGGTACATGCAAAATTAGATATTTACTATTTAGCCATTTTCTTGTAATTTTGTTGGTAATTGGATTGGTTAACTGAACTGTAGTGATGGGCATAATCGACCAATTTTGATAATCGAGTTATCGGTAATCGAGTACTTCTAATAATCGAGTGATCACTCGAGATACGAGATATTGGTCGTATTCATCCCAGCGGCGCACAAATATGTTTGTATTAGTCATATATTATATATAAGCCTAGCTAAAAAAAAAAAAAAAACGCACGCACTTCAGAACCTAACCACTTTTTCGTTTTATTCTAAAAAAAAAGGTTACGCAATCAGTGACTATTTGCAGTATGCACTAACATTTTGGGGTGCAACCGTAGGCTAATAATCACTCGAGTGGTGGGAGTAAACATCTCGAGATATCTCGAGTGATCTCAATAATCGAGTACCACTCGATTTTTCACTCGAAATCTCCCATCACTACTGAACTGACATTTTTAAAATATAACGTCTTTTATATGTCCATATTTTATTATTTTTTTCAAAGTTAACGTTTAGTAAATAGTAATCAGTTGATTCTTAATTTAATACTTAATACAAAAATAGTTTATAAATGAAATATAACGCCAAAATCAACAGTTAGGTTATATTTTTCTGAATTGAGTAAAAATCATAAATGTAACTTCTGCTCAAAAACAATTTTTAAGAATTCCAATAGGATGGAAAAACATTTAAATAAGTGTATTGGCTGTCCAGGGAAAATTAGAAACCAGTTGTAGGTAATAAGTAAAATATTTCGACACATATTCATTAGAAAATATTTTGCTTTGTGTACCCTTAAGCAGGGACCTGTGAAAACCTGATGTCTTGTATGTGCCTTATTAGATCAAGGTCAAAAGTACTTTTCCCATGTCCGTAACACACTTTTTTGAAGTGCCCATCTCTAAAAAATTGTAAAAATTGAGGTTTGGTTTATTTATGAGACTTGGTGCCTACTACTTTGAAACTCGGGTATAGAAACAAAGGATTTTATGCTGTAGTACTTTATTCCTTGCATAATATATTATAACAACATGTAACTGAATAAAAATGATATAAATATCCATAGAAGTAATGAAAACAAACACAGAGAATCGACCAGAATATATTGAGTTCCCTTCTTCGCTACGTTCTAATGATCAAGTCAATAACGTATCATCCAGTTCCTCTTCTTTGCCCTCTGGCTGTGACAATATTTTTTTCAACACCTTACTCACTACGTCCGACAATGATTCCCTTGCTCCCACATCTAGGATACCCAAACATCTCTGAAAATATCAAAGCAAGTAATCGTAGTACACCAAATTGTATTAAAATACAAAATAAATACCTGGAACATGACGTCTCCGTCTTTTAACCTAAGTACTGCGATGAGCGCTATTTCCGAGTTGGCTTTAACGTATACATTCTTCTCCTTGGTTCCATTTACTAACGTGGGAAGTAATAACTTCAATAAATCGTCCGACATCTTCTCTTGAGGTACAGTTTTTGCTAAGTGGAATGATACTCTCGCCAAAAGTTGTTTGACGTCGTTGCTAGTATTATTCATCGTCTAAAGAAACAATTATGAACAGAACATTCCAAATCCGGCGAAAAGGTCATCGACTTACCCGTACAAATGGCACCACCAAGTTACTAGGAATCGGTTCTTCATTTATCAACAAATATTGCAGCAAATATCCACAAGACCTTATTGCGATTTGAGTTAAATTAACACTTTGCGACGCCAGCTGACTAAGTATAGTTTGGATTAATTTTTTCCTGTATTGTTCATCCCACAGGCTTTCAGGAGTTTCTTTCAAGGCTACGGTTAATGCGGATCCTCTCCCTTCTCTCAACGTGTTGTTTGCGGAACTGTCGTCGCCTGAAAATTGCAAGTGAACTAGGTGTTTATCTAGTGACAATAAAACCATAATAAATGGTTTGGAATCATGTTAACATTTTCAGTTTTTACACTTGCATACAGGGTGTTTTGAAAAAGGTGACAAATTCAGGAGGTGATAGAATATCAAAAATACGAAGTATCAAATTTTTTACAAAATGTAATGTGTAAAATTAAAACTGCTTAGAATAACATCATACGCCAGACATTTTTAACAAAGTAATCAAGAAAAATCAAATATCAAAATTTCTATCCTCAAAATCTTAGCTGCACACAAATTTCTGATAAAAATATGTGGCTAAAATTTTAACTTTAGGTATTACACCACTATAACGGCCTAAAAAAGCGTGTTTTTGATAATTTTTTTTTTAATAGTACGAAATGTAATAGAAAAAGACTGTTTAAGTATGTTATTATGCATGTATTAAGTATACAGAAAATTTTTTTCTTTAAAAAATATTTCAAAATGCACTGGAGCCATTCTTCTGAAGTATGTTGCCGTCGAGGCGTTCCGCGGCATGCACTAGAACTAGTGCAGAGTGATCGCAAAAAACTTGTGATTTTCGCCTGTTTTTTCACAATTCGCAGAGAATTTAAAAAAATACACAAAAATATGTTTTTGGTCGCAAATTACTTGTAAAAAACTGAAATGAGCATAGCTTTTATTATTTTGAAAATTTAAAAAATCATCCCTACTTGAAAAAATGCCAAAAATGAAGAATTTGAATATTACCAATTGAAAAAAATAAAATCTATTACCATGTGAATTTTCTTTATATTTTTTTTGGAATTTTTACAATTATTTCTGATATTCTCCATTTTTAGGGATGATTCCACCCCCTGAGTCATGAGAATAAATTTTTCTTTGTATCAAGAATCATTCGAAGGAAAAATTCACATGCTAATAGTTTTTATACTTATTGGTAATATTCAATTCTTCATTTTGGGCATCTTTTCAACCCCTAAATAGGGGTGATTTTTGAAAATTTTCAAAATACCAAAAGCTATTCTCATCTTAATTTTTTACGACGAGTAATTTGAGACCAAAAACATATTTTTATCTATTTTCTTTAGTTCTCAGCAAATTGTGAAAAAACGGGCGATTTTTGTGGTCACGCTTTCAAGGTGGAACAAAAAAAATTAGAGAAACACGTACGGGACTGTAAAAATATTGTTTTTTTGTAAAATTGGCAAGTGTTTGAAGTATAACGTTAAATTTTTGACAAAAAAAGGGCAGTTATTTGTTTATAACAATTGTTTAAATTAACTTATCGACAAATCCGTATGTGTTACTTTTCAAAATGTTGTTTTAAATATGTGGTTAAAATTTCAAAAGAAAATATTGAAAATTGTTAGTTATGGCGTGTGCCGTTTTGAAAAAGCGTGTTTCGAGAAAAACGCGTTTAGTTTTAAAATGAGTTTTAGACATGAACGTGCACTGACGCTACACTAATGTACTCTTGTTTGAAAATTTTACTTGAATTGTACACGCATACACCCTAACGACATCTATGAGTATATTACAGAAGTCATAAATCAATAGCTAAGAAGGTACGCGTCGTACCTTCCGAGTATGGTCATAGCGTAGGTATGAGAGATGTCCGCTTTAGGAAAAAAGCAAAATTAAAAAAAAAAATCAGGTATAAAACCTTTTGCCTCCTATTCTAGAAGGTTCAAACTACTTTTTAAGAAAAAAAAAAAAACGATTCTTTGAAAATTCTACAGTGGTGTTTTCCCTTAAAACAGCTGCATTTGGCACCTAGTATAAACTGTCACTTACACAAAATCTGTTCCGACAAGGTCGCATCTAATTGTTCAGGTGATAAATATTTGCAGATAGCACCTAAGCAACCGGCGGCACACTTCCGTACCGTATCGTCCGGTTGTCCCAAATAACTTGTTAGAGTGGCGTGTACCTGCCTCTTTATAGGCTCAGTCATCTTATCACCTGCTGGCGAAATAATTCCTCTTAGCGCATGAAGTGTTGTTTCCCTAAAAATAAAAATACAAAACACGCCACAATTAATAAATTTTTCACTTACTTTATAGATATATCTTCCGTGTTTTTAATCGTATTATGTAGTTCGGTAAACAGCGGATCGGCCCTTTGGTGGATGACGATGAGATAACTCAGAGCCGCGGCTGATTTCAACCTTACGGTACGGTTGGGGTCGTTTAGCGCCTTCACGAACGTCGTTTGCAGCTGCGGCAAGAACTGCTTGAGCATTATTCCAACCTAAAACGTTACACGTTAAAGATATGCTACATTGAAGCTTACGTAATCTAAAAAACCTTTGCTAAAAGTGTTGCTAGCGCCTCCAAGACGGCAGTTTTAACATTGGCGCTGAACCTGTCACCCAGAATCCTAATGAGCGGCCCGGTAATAGCTACAACGCTCGGCTGGAGAGCTTGGGCGCTCGTCACTTTGATAATTTCGCCCAAGCCCTGAGCCGCAGCATCCTTCTCGTCACCATCGCCGTTTAGAATTGCTTCGCGGAAGATAGGTAATATCGGCGCAATACCTTTGGGGATGCAGAATCCTGGCAACAAGTCGGATGTTCCTTTCATGTCCGACATGGCGTAGCGTACAGCTTGGCGAACGTCCGAGACATACGTGGCTTGTTGTTTGGGTTCTAAAGTCTGAAAGGTAAAGGTGATTTTTTAAATAGTAATATATTAAAGCTAAATGACCGTCGCCTCTACATACTGGCATTTACATCGTGGGTATCCGCTATTAGGTTATACTGTATTTATTTCTTTAATTTTTAAGCTTTACCTTTGTAACGGCATTCAGGGCCTCCCAAGACATCTGCAGAACGTCCCTGTCGGTGTCGGTGCAAAGATGAATTAACCCCCTTAATAACTGAGGCACGTGAGTGGTGTATTGGGCTTTCGAATTAGCACAAAATCCACACAGTAAAGTGGCGGCCGCTCTTCTTTGATCTGCGTTTTCGTTCCTCGTATTTTCCAGCATAGTGTCTATTATTGTTCTTATACCGACTTCGTCCACGACGGATAAAACGACGGCTTGACAATACTCCAGTTGCTAAAATGACAGAATAAAAATAACTCCTTCGAACGTACATACACGTAAGCTTACTTGAGCTTCCTCTGGGGTTCCCCGAGATGACGCCAAAGCGGTTTGTAGCGCCGGTAGGATTTTTGGAAGGTATTTGTTAAGAGCCTCACCGGCAACAGAAGCCAAGATCGAGAGGGCTTTGGTGTTAGCAGGCGGCGCAGTTAATTGGGGTACCAAGTAGGGTAGTACGACCCTTGATTTTATTGCCATTACTTGTCGCAAGCCGTCTAATGTCCATTCGACCACGTTCGGGTCCTCAGAGTTCTTGAAACGGTTAAGATTTCATGTATTATCACTCAATTAACGTTCTAAACTTAAATGCTTACAATTTTATAAATATTCATTAGAAATAAATAACTTATAGAAATAATACAAATTTTTTAGAAAACTTATTAAAAATTTCTTTAAAACACCCCGTTTAAATTTTAAATTTCAGCCATCCCCCAAAGTTGCACCCTGTATAACGTCAATATTTTATCCTTTGTTCTATTTGCTACCCAAGCTTATCAAGATAAAATCTGTTACACCCTCAGACCGTCTAAAACGTAAAACTTACCAGCTGATTTAATAATGTAGGCAGGATATCATCCAGAGCTCTAGATCCCACCGTAGAGTGCAAACTATCGAAAGTTTTGGCTGCAGCTTGCCTAACTTCGGGCAGGGGATCGCACAACGCTTTTCGTACGGTCGGCACAAGCGAATTAACAAAATTCAGCACCATATCCTTGGAAGTGGACGCCATAATTTCTGACAAACCGATGCAGACGCCCTGTCTCTGATCGGGTTGGTCCGACTGCAGTCCCCTTTCTAATATCGGTATAATTTCTGGTAGAACCCTTTCTCCTAGCTTTCTCACTAGGTCTCCTAACGTTCTCGCCGCTACTTGTCTCTTATCGTAACTGTCACTGGCCAGACATCCCAACAACAAACTGAACAGCGTCGGTAAAATTTCCCTTAAAGTTCTGGGGGTGTTTGTCACAACCACCTTCCACACGTGTAAAGCAGCTTGACGGACCATCAGAGCAACGTCGGAACGGCCCATATACAGCCCGGCAAGTACCCGATTACGTCTTTCAGCTCCTAAAGCTGAGATTATGGCAGTGTGCGATTGTTCAGTGCCGAAGTTGTCGTCTTCGCTAGCAGTTTCTGTGCTCATCTTACCAGTCACTCCAGAAATTCTGTATAATAGATCACCCAGCAGCTGTACGGAACTGGAATAATTACGGATTTGTTTAAGAATGGAAATTGAAATGCCGTTCTGTTTAATGGAGTTGAAATGTTGAAATTATAGCTATTTAAACCAGGATACAGCTGTGTTTACTAGGTTTTACATTAATTTAAAAATTATTAAAATGTAATAAAATGTAACGATGTGCATAAATAAAACAAATGTATCTATGGTTTAATAAATATGTTTAATAAAAATGTTTATTTTTAAGGTTTATTTATAAGGATTTAATTATAATATCGTATATATTTAATAATTCTGTTAAAAGTAACTGATATAAAAGTTTACTGAAAATTAGTGTCACTAAAGATATATTTTTTTCTAATCTCGGATTAAGAGAAATTTAGAATTTAGAATTTAATCAGAAATTTCTGTTTCTCAGTAATGTACAAGGTATTTCAAATTAAAACGACGACAACTAAAAAACCATGAAAGAGAACGCAAAAACTGACAACTTTTTTTTTTATTCCTTCAGAAAACATTTATTATATTTGAAATAGGTTAATGTTGTCGCATAGAAGTAAGGAGACCTTTTGTATGATTATTTTAATGTCTTTTGTATATTCGTAAATATAATTTAATTTTGAAATAAATAATTCTAATTAACAGAATCATCCACACCTTTTTATTGATTTTTTATTGACATTCTGTTGGAAGAAATAACTAATTAATTGATTGATTAATTTTAATAGCAATCCTGGCAAAATGATAATTAATATTTCATTAGTATACAATTAATTATGTAAAGGATTTCAGAAAGTAAATAAATATTTTAATAACTTTTTTATTTTTGACTCTAAAAAACCTCTCCTAAAAAAGTTGAGCTTTGAGAGCTTCAAAAATTGAAAGAAATTGAATGTAGCATACGCAACTTCTAGAAGCAAGTTATGCTTTTTGTAATGGAACACCTTGTTTACCTATATTTTTGCAATTTGTAAGTTTTTCTCATTTCAATAATATAAATCTGTCATATGTTTGCTTAACAACTTTTTCTAGATAAAACTTTTTATATAAATACAATGGATATTCTACTAACTTTGTCAAGGCAGTTTGATAACAGTTAAATTCGATTATGTTTAATATGCAAATTGTTTCATTTGAACTGAACAAAAATAAAATATAATACAAAAGTGTTACAGGTTTATAACAAGATCCTGTAAATGAAATATTTGTTTAATATATTTTAAGTGTTTTAATTTTCTTTTTATTACAATTTAATGTAGTAATATGATAAGAGTGTAATTGTAGACTGGAATTCAAAAAGTCAATCATGTAAAAAAAAATACTGAAGCAAACTTATATGTGTACTAGAACCGTTTTAAGATTGCCATTACGTCACGAGTATGTCCTAATATCAAAGACAGTTGTTGCGGATGTGAATTCACTATTTGTTAAACGTGCCAAAAAGAGATACAATGATGGTATAAATGTCTTCATAGTCTCAATCTATCACAGACAATCATTCCAATATTTTAAGTCGGGTCCAGATGCTAGGTTTTGCACATTTTATCTGCACAGTTCAAGACGTTGCTTATGGACAGGAAAACTATGCAGTCTTGAGAACTGCGCGGAGATGGTACACTGCATGCGAAAACTGAGGCCTTAAGCATAGTTATCCGCCAACTGCGCAAATAAGTCGGTGTGTGTAGACATTCGCTCCGTTTTGTCATGGGTTTTGTTATTTAAATTGTAGCAAAATGGCAGATCTTCGTCAATATTCCTGTGAGTTTTAGACAGAATTTATTGACCTGTATAAAAGTTTCCCGTCTCTTGGCATGCGAAATCAAAGGAAGATAGTGACAGAAACAAAAAGAGCCAGACATACGAAATTTTAATCCAAAAATTCAGAAAGGTTGAAGCTGTAGCAAATAGAGAAACAATTATAAAAAATATTTATATTTTCTTTCTTACAAAAATTGACCAGAGCAGAACTTCGTCCATGGCCGTTTCCGCGAAAACTGAGTAAATAAATACAGACATATCTGCGCTGTGTGGACACTCTTGATTTGTAACGTTTTCATTTCGTTTTATGAATGCGCAGGTAAAACGTTGTGCAAAACCTAGCGTCTGCACCGGGCTTTATGTGTATTAGAGTGAAAGAAAATAGTGGACGTTTGTTGGGTATTAGCTTTAGACTGCAGTTTGACAACTGCAAACAAAAACAAAACAGAGTTGATACTCAGATTAAAAATTTGACAGGTTGTTTTGATCGTGTCTCCATACTAATTGTTGTTTATACGTTCTGAGCGTCGAAATATCGATTTTTTGGCATATTATATAGAAATTCTTATAATTTTCATTTATTTACTTCGAATAGGTACCTAAATGTAACAATACAGGCAACCAGTAATAAAACAGTGACTAATTTGACCAGGATTTAAAATACTAAACCGCCAAAAATTTTTTGAAAGTATAAATTATTAAAAATATATTTTTTTGAGTGCCACCCTTATCATTTTTTCTAGTATTTTACAATTGTGTGACTGATTTGAGTTCTCAATGGTTAGTAAGCATATTAAATTTGAGTGCAAATTAAAATAAAAAAATTGGTAATAAAATATGAATTTTTTTCTGGATCTCGTTAAAAATTTTAGAAGAATCATGTCGAATCGATACAATCCATAATTAGATTGTTTTTTAAAAATGTACTGTGTAAAATCTTACAATTTCTCTCCTCATTTTAAAAAGATATATTGGAATAAAAATAGGTCTATTTTCTATTCTGTGTAACGTGAAATATAGGCAACCCTAATACAAGATTGGTAGTTTTAAATTACATAAAAATTAAAATGGATTTTTTTTTCTTACCTGTATCTAATCCTCCAATTCTCATCGAACAAACCCCTTTCCAACTCTGGCAGCAAAAGCAATATGGCGGAATCAGCATACAGCGTAACGATCCTTTGCCCAGCTTTAAGTGCTGTGTCCCTTACATACTCGTTCTCATCGGCAAGCGCTTTCAAAATTGGGTTAATTATTTGACCAATATAAGGCGTAAATTCGTTGGTAAACACAACGGGCATGTAAATAAACATCATAATGTAACCGTCCTTAACGTGCGGCGCTATATCCGTCCGTTCCGCGGTGCTGATAATTTCCGGCATGAGTTTATGAAGTTTTTCCACCCCGAGGCCTCCGACAACTTCGGAAAGACCCTGGGCGGCACCTGACCGATCGACAGAACTAGTTTCGGACGTCAACATAGTCATTAGCCAAGGAAGCAGGTCCTCGAAGCTCGACTCGCCCATTCCTCTAACCATGGCACCCAGAGCTCTTGCGCTAACCGATCTAACTTCTGGTACGGGATCCAACAAGGACATTTTAAGGCCTGGTATGATGGTTGGTAGGTATGGCATCAAGTCTTTCTGGTCAGTCAACGAGTACATGTTTCCGATGATCTGGGCGGCCATCTTACGTGTTTCCGTCGATCGGTCCATGAAGGCCCTTTGCACGACGGGCATTATTAGCGCCAATGAAGGGGCGTCGATGAAATGAACGAACTGGGTGTCCAGGAGGGTTTGTAAGCAGACGGATGTTTTGTTTGAGGGATCTTGTAGAGCCTTTAGAAGCACCGGTACAATAGCTAAAATAAAAAAGTGTAAAGAGATTCTTGATGTGCATTGTTGTAAAAGTGATAACGTTGTCAATGTGTATTTGTGAGTATTCGTAAACATTTGCTTACTTTGCATTAACATTTGTTAAATTTGTTTTAAATATGTGTAACATTTAATAACTACTTTTTTTTAAATAATGCTTCTGTACATATTCAAAAAACAAAGCAACAAAGAACATTTTCAAAAAATCGGAGGATATTTAACATTAATGTATTAATTTTAAAACCACAGGATTATTTTTTATATAGTCGCATCATTTTGATTTCGGTTATCTTAAGGGGGAAAATTAATTAAAAAAATCGGATATTTTTTAATTATTGCATAAATTGTTAGTTTCAAGAATATGCTGCCAAAATTTCTAAATGAAATTCCTATTCGCTCCGATTTTATGAGCTTAAAACCGAACACCCATCAGGTCAGCAGGTAGGTCGGAGCGATTATTCAGGTTGTCTAGTCACTTATTAACACGTTGTTGTATACGATGCACCTGAATGCATGATGGGTGGATTCCCATTTGCGAGTGACAAACCTGGTACGTCAACTTTTGGTATTACCAGTCACTCTAGTAGCGATCAAGAAAAATTTCCAAAACGAAGTAAACACTGTAAAAATTGAACACTTTTGGTGCAAATTATGGATTTTCTCGAAGTATTTGCCAATAAAAAAGCATTCTGCACAGGGCGGGTGGAGCAGGAAAATACTTATGTAGTGAACATGTTAAGTAAGAAAGGAACAGATGCAAGCTCAGAATGATGCCTATGAAGAAGAACTGTCATACGATGCTCGAATTACTGATTTATCGATCGCAAAGCACTCTATATTATTTTGGAAATCTTCAAACGCGTTTTAGTGGAAACGATATTCTTTTGATTCACGGAACCTCTAGCTCAAAAAGTTATGAAAATTGAAAGTGTGTTTCTTTATGAAATTACAAAGAACCTGAACCAACAATTTGGATGATATATTTTTAAGGGTGTTTTTTTTTATTCAAAATAAGTGAAAAAAAAATGGTGAAAATCGATAAATTTTTTTCAAACGTGTGTCGAAACTTCAATTTTTACAATTTTTACCCGCAATAATATGCTTTATTTCTCCTGAGACATAATACAATGCATGGAAAACATCAAGTAAATACAATAAAATTCACAATAAGAATTTATACAAATATATAACAAATAAATAACAATGACACAGTCATTGACTATAAAGTCAATTTGCTCAATGCAAGATAACAAACAACAATCAAAGAAAACTACACTCAAAAAATTCACGCACCATGTAGAACGATTTTGTCAAAAGTAACACTCTACACGACTTTTTGAAGGACGGGATGCTCTGAATATTTCTTATATTAACTGGAAGGTGGTTATATATTTTAGGTGCCATGATAAAAGGACCATTAGCTGACTTTGCCAATCTGTGTCTAGGTACCACGACAGCATGCCTATCTCTGAGGTCAAACGCCAAATGTCTATCCGCGAACTGCGTAAATTCAGACTTGTGAACCCTGACGTACATTGCGCACTCTAAAATATACATTGAGACTGCGGTCAAGATTCCCAAGTCTTTAAATAATTGGCGACAAGAATGACGCCTTGTTTTAAACAGCATAGTTCGAATGATTCGTTTTTGCGCAATCATTAAATTGTCAATACCCGAACCATTACCCCAACAGAGGATACAATAGCTTAGGATAGGGTAAACCTGTCCGTAGTAATATAACTTCAGTATGTCAAGACTCACAAACTCCCTCAGCGTCCACATGACAAAGTTATGTTTGGATAGCCCCTTACATAAGTTCACTATGTGAGCCTGCCAGTTTAGACATCTGTCAAATGTGATTCCCAGAGACTTCACACAGTCATTATCCCTAAGAGATCTCCCGTTTAAGGCAACATATAAACTATTATTAGGGTCATGAATTGAAAAAGAAATCATTACAGTTTTCGCGCAGTTTAGAGACAGTCCATTTGCCACACAATATTTTTTCATTATATCAATACAATTCCCACCCTCACGAGTGAGGGTGGCCTCACGAGCCAACTGATCAACGCTGTTTGCCCGAAAAGCCACAGTGGAATCATCTGCATAGAGAGAAGCCTGATTCGGATAAAAACAGTTGCCTAGGTCGTTTATAAAAATGATAAACAAAATAGGTCCCAAAATGCTACCCTGAGGAACACCCAAGGGAACCACTCTGTTACTCGATGTAGACTGGCCAACAGGACCCTTGACGATAACTTTCTGCTGTCGATTTGACAAATAAGATCTCAACCACTCAAGGGGAGTACCCCTGACCCCATAATGTTCAAGCTTTATCAGAAGTAAGTCATGGTTTACGGTATCAAAAGCCCGCGTTAAGCCCACAATGGGGTTCATATTCTTAGAAAACGTGTCAATAATGGAGGAAAACAATAATTTTGCTTCAAAATTGCGACTTCCACATTTCCCGTGAACAGCTAACTCGGACGACAACCTTCGGTTGACAACATCCATAATTTTCAATACAAATTACTTGAAAAAATTTGTAAATGTAGTTCAAAATATTGATAAAATAATGTCAAAATTTGATTAAATTCAAATCAATTTGTCCCACTCATAAAAAAATTCATGAGAAACACCTGAAAACCAGCCTCTTAATGTGATTTCCCCCCTTAAAGAGAACAAGGTAGTCAAATTGGGGCAAAGTTGCGGAATTTGGTAACAACTGTCTTGCTGAGGAGAAATTTCGTTTTAACGTTATTAATGAAAAATTTAAAATTTTTATTGTTTTAAGTTTTTTAATTTGAAATGGAAAGAGGTTAATTTTTTACTAATTACTTATATGCTATTTACTTTTTGTGGGGAATTCAAAATTCAAATAATAAATTTTTGTTTTTCTTCTGGGTCCATATTGGATGTTTGCATTTTTTTTTTGTTTTCGTCAAATACCAAACAGAACAATTATTTTAAATTATGTTTTTGTACTTTTCAACAATATAATAAAAATCGTCTTAAAGAAATAAAATACGTACTTTCAAGGATGACCTAATTCGGATAATTGCATTTATACTGTCTTTAAATATATTTTTGTTATGATTGTTAATAATTACCTTGAATTTCGGGATTTCTTATAACAGAGCCGATCACTTTCAACGCGGCAGCGCCGGCTTCTTGGACCTTCATATGTGAATCACTTAGTACCTCGATTAATTTAGGAACTATGCTAGGAAGACACGAGGATAGTTGTTTCGGAGCGCAATAGGCCATAGCTCCCAGTAACTCAACAGAGCCTAAAAATCAAGTATAGATTCAACCATCAAATTGTGCCTACCAAAAATCACTTTACCTGTTTTCGTTCTCCAAGAATCTTCTTCAAGGGCGTCCAGAAGCGACGGCAAGACCAGCTTGACGCCGTGACCGGATAGCTTACTCATTACAACCTTTGCCGTGTCGTCTGCCGCCGTCCGAACATACTGACTAGTATCGCCGAAGCATTGCAGTAAATGCGGCAGCACGTGGACTATATAAGGTTCGAATAGTTTCCCCAACATTTGGAACAACATTTCAAATGCAAAAAGTGCTCCTGGAAATAGTTACACGTGAATTTTAGTAAAGAAATCGACATTCCGAAATTTTACCTTCTCTATGTTTATAATTTTTTTTATCTTGGATGGCCTCTGTTAATTTCGTCATGATATCGTGCTGCTTTAGGGCCAGAATACCCATTCCCTTAACCAGACCAGCTAGTCCGTAAGCTGCTCCTTTACGTTCGCCATATTTGTCACCCTTCAGCAGCTGATGCAATAGTTTATTAACGTAGCCTGGTGCGTCGTCTTTCACCGATGGTATCAAAGGGGGTAAACAGTTGGCCACGGCTTCTTGCACCTAATATATTATATATTTAGTTGTATAATTCAGGTTCAAAATAGTAGGCAGTGACACATTTTCAACACGTAGACCCTAGGACGGGTAAGATCTGCAGGGAATGCTGTTCCATGGGTGTATTATTTTAGAGGGTTCCCAAAATTATTTAATTTGAAACAAGAGATATGTCGATTTTGATAAAAACTGGATTATTCTTTCCTTGTACATGGTAAGCAAAGACAGAAATAGGCGCTTGCAACCATAGAAAAGTCAAGCACAAGCTAAACATATTATCTGAACACTATGGGAAATGAACGGCACATTACAATTTCCATACACATTATATACAAAATTATTTTATCAGATAAGTAGTAAAAATTGTGATTTCATTTATTCATGACTTACTGCCTACTATTTTGGAGTATACACAAAATTAATGTGCTATTCTTACTGTTTGGGATGGAGTTGACAAGGCTTGGATCAATCTTAAAACAATAGGTTTTATTCTTGGATCGTCTTTGTCTAAATGACGAGCCAATGAACCCATTAAAATGACAACAGCTTGTTTGACGGCATCATAGTGGGCAGATTTCGAAGATTTTCCCATGAAATCGTCAAATACGGGCCAAAGAGTACCCACAGTTTCCTGCAAGATATTGTCAAGATATTTAACACGTTCTTTTGAGTAGATAAAACCACTTACCTTTCCGTGCAAATCTACAACCTTCAAAGCTGCGTTTAGCATTTCTTTCCGTACAGTCTCATTTCGATCCCCTAATGAAGTAAAAACGAAGAATTGCACCAGATCACCGATCAATTCCGGGGTGATCAAAGCCGCTAACTCAGCAAGAGACAGAGCTACTCCTCTTCTCGGGAACCAAGTATCCACCGCCTTTTCTACCTCCCTACCAAATTCGTCCATTTTTGCCGGAATCATCTACAGAGTTATAGTTTAGTACATCATACGGATAAAAAATAACGCTTTAAACCTTCAGTCTGTCCCTATACAGTTGTATAAGCTGCTTCAGCGTATCCTCCACTTGTTCGGTATTGTCTTCCAACAAAGCGGCTAATGCTTTCGCAGCAGCAGCTTGTACGCATTCTACAGGGTGTTCGATGTCACTCATCAGTTCATTGCTTAAATGTGCAGGGAAATCCATTTTTCCCAGATCCCATAGCTTTTCCGCTAATACCCTAAATAACGAAGGAGAAATAGAGGCAAATACAATAATATATCCTCAGTAAATGGAAAAGGGTGGTTGTATAGTGGTTATACCAAAACCAAAATTGGATCATCTGAAAATATACAGGGTGATTCACAATCTATCCAAAAAAATTTGGGAATAGATGCACCACAAGAAATGGAGTCAATATCGTAAAAGAATTTTTTTGTAAAATCCTGAGTTCTGTGAAAAAAATTATTGAAACTGTAGTACTTTCAAGCAATACATTGCTGGACAACTGTAGCCTCTAGAGTCATTCGCAATACACGTGGGAGCCATATGGCCTCAACGACTGCGAATACTGAAATCCGATTTTACAATCGTCATTGCGATAGTGCCTACTATAGTTTTTTAGTAGTTAGTGTCAAAAATGGCTTGCGTGTATAGAAACTCGAAGTTGATGGATATCGTTTTCATTTATTGTGAAGCAAGACAACATTTGTATTATGGTGAAGCAGGACAACATTTGTGTTAGTTCGTAGAAACTGAGTAAGACGGGCTCAAATGTGTTTACATGTCGGTGAACAAAATTTTGAACAGTTGTTGTAACATCAGGTATGTCAAATTATTTTATTAATTAAAACCACAAATTAATTGTATTAATTAATAATAACAACAGGTGCAAAAGCAATTGAATTTGCTGATATTAAAATAGGTGCCATAAAATTCTATTTATTCCTTTCCTTGCGAAATTCTTTCAAGTTTTTGTCCGTTTTTTATTACACTTTGTCTTGTGTAAGCTCAGGTTTTACAGTGGACCAGTATCCAGTGCCGTGCAGAAGTGTATTTTAAAATTATTTTCGAACTGCCCTTTTTGATTTTTTATTGCATAAATTGTTAGTATAACTGTTCAAGAATGCGGTACCAAAATTTCAAATGAAATTCCCATTCATTTCGATGTTATGAGCATAAAATCAAACACCCATCGGGTCAACGCTCGGGCACACAGTAGGTAGGGTGGAGCAGTAGTCTAGACACTTATTGAGCAAGAAAAGAGCAGATGAAAGCTCAGATTGATGCCTTTGAGGAAGAAGGACTGTTATATGGTGCTGGAATCACTAATTGATTGGAAACCACTCTATATTATTGATAACTTTCTAAAATTTCTAGTTTACGGAAATCTTTAAAGGCGTTTTTCTCGAAATGACATTTTTTTGATTCACGGGAACTGTAGTACAAAAAAATTATGAACCGATCGTTATGAAAATTGAAAGTGTGTTTATGAATTTACAAAGAACACGAAAAATTAGGATGATATAATTTTAAGGGCATTTTTTATGGAAAGTAGTTTAAAATATTGATAAAATAATCAAAGAAATATATGAGAAACGCCTGAAATTCAGCCTCCAAATGTAGTTTCCCTACTTAAATCGGTGAAATGAGAATATGTCATAGTTTTTGAAAAATGAAGATCTGCATTTGCTACCTAATTTAAAGACCCAATTTCTGGCGAATTTTTCGATTTTTACAATAATAATCATGATTCACTCGATTTGTAACTAGTCACTTTTTGTAAAAAATTGAATTACAAACATTTTTTTCCTCTTCCATTTTCGCCTAAAATCAACTCTTGAAGATATAATTAAATAGGAAGAAAAATATGACATTTTTCGAATTTTTTAACATATTGTGCCGCCGAAAGTTAAGCCCACGTTTTTTTTATGTGCCTAGAAAAATTTTCATTTCTAATGATATTTGAAAGCCAAAAAGCCAAAAATCTCCGTGAATATACGATTCACCCAAACCAAAACAGATACCGCCTAGACTATGATTAGTTAGTTTGTAGGTATACTATCCAGTGTTTCAAAACAATTTCTTATCTATAAAAAAATACGTTATTTACTTACCTACCAATTTGGTACAAGATTCGTATTTAGACTAGCAAAACGAAATACAAGGCGAAAATAGAAAACACAACACGACCGTTTCCACTAAACAGACAGAGTTTCAAAACACGTCGAAACCTTTTGATGTGACCGCATTCGAGGGGGACCCGAAAAACAAAACTGCAACTGTTGCAAAACACGCCACTCTTCAAAAAGTTTACGAAAAGTTACAGTTTTGTTTTATTCAACACGAGTTTGTGTTTTGTTTTTGTTTTGTCCGTTTAGTGGACTTTAACAATGATCATTTAATGGAACAGTGACTTCAAATACACTTCTATTGTATGTAATGTGGTCATAAAAAAAATAAAAAAAAATTAAAAATAATTATTTTAGAATTAAATAGACTTTGGTTTGGCTTCTTATCATTATTACAATAACAAAATATCGCATGTTACCTGTTTTCTTCATTCTCATCGAATCTAGCTATCCATATCCGCTTGTTCACCTTCAGAGCATAATCGTAGTTGTTATCGTACGTAGGCAACGACGATATGATTATCGTCAGACTTCTTAAGGCTGCATCCCTAACCACAGTTATAGGACTTTGAAGCGCCGCCAACAAGACGTCTATTTCATCTGCGGTGGCCGAGGCACAACCAGACTGGCCACTCACGCAGCCGGCTACTTCCAGCATGCAGGCCTCGCACTGAGACTGTACACGCCCTGACGTGGAACCTGAAAATAATCATATTATTAAACGTTCACAAATAAACCATAGTTCTAATATTCCTTACTTATAATATCAACGAGCAGGCTGAACATCTGCTTAGTCGGAAGATACCGGGGATGGTAAACGTCTTTGAAGCCCAATTCTTCTCCGCCTCTCAATTTAGCGTGCTCGGAAATGATCTGCAAACCGTCGTGTATCAACTCGTCGTGATTTCTCGCGTAATTAGAAGTCAAGCTGTACTTGAGGAGCGGGAACGTATAACTGAAAGCGGGCACGGTGAAGCATTCTTGAATGTGTTCTTCTTCAGTCTTTTTCGGAACAGTCTTTTCGTGGATTAAAGTGATACACCTCACCATTGCCTTGTTTATGTTCTCGGCTTGCCAGTTCGCTTCCAAGTCGCACTGTGGCTTCGCCAATCGGAGCGTGACGAAAGCTATCAGTTCCCCCATACCTTCGAGGTGTTTGGGAAAGACGGTATTTTTCAGAGAGGTGAAGAGTTTGCTTAAGTAAGGGGCGGCGAGAGGGGACTGCAGGTCTTGCAATATTGCCGGCAAAAGGTCCTTGAAGTACAGGGACAGCTGTAACGGGTTCCCTTTGGCGCAAGCTTCTATCATCGACACGCTGTTCAAAATCGTTGTGTTTAACTGAAATAAATAAATGAATGAATTAATGAAGTAGGAAAAGACATAAAAGGTTTTTTTTTGTTACCAGATTTCGAGTTTAAACTTGAAATTTCAAGTTTAAAATGAAAATTACGAATTTAAACAAGAAATTCAAACTCAAAATTTTGATCAAACAGAAATTTCAAGCCAAAATTCAAAATTATAAAGTTGAGACATTCGAAATTAAAGTCTTGAAATTTAATTTACTTTGTTTTTAACTGATAATATCGTGCAAAAGAACTACACTGTAGGCCAGGGGTCGGCAACCTTTTTTGGCTGCGGGTTAAAATCAACCACAGTGTGAATATTAAAGGGACGTTTGGGTTAGTGATATTTTCATTTTAAACCAGTCTTTTAGTGAATAATAAGATATATTTTATTAAGAAAATAGTTACGATACGCTTTTAAACTTTAATTATTATTATAAAAACTAATAAAATTCTAATTATTATAAAAACAAACATAGTTGAATGAACTTTATTTATAAACGTTTTCTTCGATATTTACGTAAGGGACGAAAATGGCGCGGCGTGTATCGTTCTCTCAGTTGTACCACATGTTCAGTGGCGGAGTGACGCATTACGCAGCTAAATAATTATTAAGCAGTTACCTAAGTGAAATAATTATTATTATTTAAAAAAATATATTGCCATGAACAAACAAAAAGCAAAAAAAGAGGTTATTTCAAGATTGATGTGCACGCAAAAACAAAGTATCTATTTTCAATTTTTTTTTATTCTCAAAATATTCGTTTCATGTTTATGTTTTACAATTTATTTATATATATTATACTTTTTTTAGGAAATAAAGTGGGTCACTTGTAATTAGTAAATGGGTCACTCGGTGACCCGCGGGTCATAGGTTGCCGACCCCCGCTGTAGGCAATATGCCTAGTCTAGCCTCGAATTACACTTCCAATATCTAATAAATAGCTCACATCAATTATCAGGAGAGTTACCAGATACAGATAGGTTTCAGTCATATTGGTTTTCATTAATATGAGATATGGTCGTGAAACAACCAACGAAGGATTCAAAATTTGATTTCAAACTTGAAATTTCACATTCAAAATTGAAATTTTTAGTTCAAGGGTAAAATGTGAAAGAAACGTAACACAAATTTTCAAGCTGAAACTTAAAATTTGTAATTCAAAACTTTTAATTCAAACTAGAAAATTCATATTCAAACTTGAAATTTTGGGTGGGAGTTTGAAAAATGTAAAAAAGTAACTTCAAATTTCAAGCTTAAACTTAAAATATCAAGTACCGACAAGAAATTTCTAATTAAACTTGAAATTCTGTAAACTGAACTGAACTGAACTGAAACTTGTAATTCAAGCTCAAATTCAAAACTTCAAGTTGAAACTTGAAATTTCATGCAATTTTGAAATCTTGGGTTGAAGTTTGAAAAATGTAAAAAAAATAAAAAAATGTAACTCCAAATCTCAAGCTAAAGATTGAAATTCTGACTTTTACTCTATATGTATGGCTACTTCCTACCTCAAAAATTGAAATTTTGATTTTAAAATTTGTATTAGGACATTATTTGAGGTTATAAACAGATTTGTTTTGTGGGTACACATGCCGCAAGTAACCCATTTATAAACATTACGTCAAGGGTCTACAGCGGACTGGCGCCGGCGACCAGATGCTTACTCATATACCTACGACCGACTCCATACACAGGGACTCTCCAACGAACACTCACCCGGTCAACACGTCTTTTTCTATACAACTTAAGTTTTCAATAAAAATAGTTTATTTCTACCATTGAGAGAACGTTTTATTTTTGCTGTACAGCGAAAGCAACCCTCAGTTTTATAAAAATGTTGTGTAAAATAATAAATAATGGTACTTCTCTCTTGAGTATTTTCGTGCTTTTAATTTATGAGCACCCTGTATATCTAATCTAAGATATATGTATGACAATCTCATTTTTTTGAGGGGCACAACTTTTTATAAAGAGTGACATTTTTCGATAATGTCAAAAACAAAAGAGTTTCTCCTCTTGTCAACTCCATCCGTGGACACACTCTATATATATTATTAATAAACTTTATTGTACTTAAATTCTCAAGTTTTTACTAAATTATTTTATTAAAAAAGTAAAAAAAATCAAAAAATCTTATTTTTTGCTTTCTTTAAAATTGTTTATTGATATTTTGCATAAAATTTTCCTTTTACATTTTTTAAATCTGCCATTTTGATGAGAAATTCAATTCTCTACAAAATTTTTCCTATGAACTATACCGAAATTTTGCTTCGTTTTCGTGCTATATTTGAAAAACTGCAAAAGTGCATTTTCACCCCTATCTTCAATTTCAACCCTCTAATTTAATAGCACCCCG